ATAGTTTAGTTTTTATTTTAATTTAACACGTCGAAATTTTCTGAATATTTCTTATATAAATTAAGAATACTTCCAGTGATCAAAAGTTTTTCAATAACAAAGTTAAAAGATAAAAAGTATCAAATCTTTAAAAAAAAAAGAAAATAACATATGAACTATAGAACGCATAGAGAAATTATTTAAAAACATGAAATAAGAAATGTTACAAATAAAAGTTAAATAAAAATAAGCTGAGTTTTTGAATTTAGAAGATTTAGAGTATATTTGCTTGCATTTTTAAAACGAATTTTTTCATTTTAAAAATTTAAAATATATGTATTATTAATTTAAAAAAACTCTTTTTAAAAATATAAACAAACATATTCTTATTATTTTCGGATTTAGAAATCAGAAAAATATTCTGTTAGTTATCCTTCGATCAAGCATGTATGACTTAAGTTACCTTTTTCATATTTATACGCTGCAACCACTGTATGTAATTGATAGATTATTCAATTCACGATACATTTTATCAGCTCATTATGATAATATTTCTTTATTTTAAATACGTTTTTATTTTGTTCTATTTCTTTCCTAAAATTAGAATATTCACTGGTTTCCTTTTGGTATATATAATATTTTGAGATCTCAATACTTAATATTTGTAAGATTTATTTTTTATATGATTAACTTGTATCATCAAAATTATTTATTCTATATTTTTATAATAAAAACTATCAAATATCTTTAATAAAAAAACACACATTAAGAATATTACCCTCAGTTGTTAATTTTACTACTTTTCATGATTTAATGAATAGTAAATAACTAGAATATGTGGTAAAAAAAACTGAGGCTATAAAGAAACAAAAATTATTGAATTTTGCGTAGATAACATATAAACCAACGATTATCTTTTAAATTCAAATTCACGAATTATTGCAAAAGTGATAAAACTATAATTTCAGGAATATATTTTAGAACTTCTTGATAAATATGATAAAATAAAAACTGACAAGATATAGGAAGCGACTATTATATATATAAAAATAAAATAAATTTTAATTTTATTATATGTTTGATATATATTAAAATAGTGTAATTAACATGAGATAAATATAAAATAATAATAAAAAAAAATTCTACTTAAATTATAAAATCACTTTTTATTAAAATTAATATAATTATTTTAATTAAAAATATACATAAAAACTTAACACGAATTTTATCAAGTTTCATACTAAACATAAAAGTATTGTTAGTTTTAATATAAAATAAATGAAATATATATTATAAACTTATGTAGTAAAAATACAATTCTCTCTATCTCTCGTCATATAATCTATTTTATCATTTCTTTCTCTTTTCTCTACAAATTTGTTTCAAATATATAAATTTCATATTATCTAATTGATCTGTGTTATAGTTTTATGTATTAGCCATATAACTGAAATCCGGCTAATAAAAATACCACCCCTATTTTTCCTCAATATCCCTATCACTAAACGTGTCCTTAATATTAGTACACTTAAAACCAATGGTCAATTTTACCATTTACAAATTTGAAGATAAAACATTAAATTTTCCATTCAATATCAGGGAGTTGTTCATTGATTCATCTGTTAAAAGGTCAGAACGTCCCATAAATATTAAATGATATAATAAAACATAAACTCAAATATATACCAACTAAAACGTTTTGAAATTGGAACAAAGAAAGCAAATGACTTATAAGGTATAAGAATTTCTCAAAACTTAACAAAAAATAAAAAAGGATAATGAATACACCCAAGAAAGTGGGAATTTAAGAAAAGCAAATATTGGTCTCCAAAACAAGAGAAGATTAGGTTAGTCTACAATGAATAACTTCAAAAGGTTGGCCTCATAGAGAAGATTAGGTTAGTCTACAATGAATAACTTCAGACATATGTTTGTCAATTTTCAATCATTTAATCATTGGCCAACATACGACGAACAAAGAGCAGAAAAAGTTAAACAAAAACATAAATTTCTATGAAACTTAAGACCCTAAAACAAAATTAGATGAAAAAAAAAAGGGACTCAGAATATGGGTGGTGATATATCAGGATGGTCGGCAAGGCCGAATGAGGCCAATTACGACGAACGAGACCTTAATTACATCGAAATCGTCACTGTCCCCTTTGTGATTCAGCTGCTGAGAAACAAAGACAAGTTCATAAGAGATAATTTAGAAGCGTAAACGAAAACCCCAGACGCAAACGAACGAAGATTGGAATATAAATGCGATCTCTGGGAAGAGAATTACAAACCCTAGAAAGCTATTAGGTTGAGAGAGTGATTGCAGCACTGCGCTTGAGGTAGGGTTTTAAAGAGCACAGTGAAGTAACTTTTGGGCTTTTCTCTAGAACTAGAATTTTCATAGCAAGGCCCACTCTAAAATCTTTTTTATTGTTAATATTCATTTGCAAATAAAAGCAATTAAAACAAATAGGCTTCATATACACCAAAAACACAATTGGGCTTTCTTTTTTAAACTGTGGTTCACCTCATTTGAAAAAAATTTGACCAAAAACATTCCAGAAAAAGAAAACTCGTAAAGGTCTTAATATATGTTATCATTTATTGGTTGAATTATAGTTAAATTAGAGTCAAATTAATAAGATATACGTTTAAATGTTAAATAGGGTATTAATATAAAATTATAAAAAATACATTATATGTTTCTATATAAAAAATTTATAATAAACAGTTATAACAACTTCGTGTATATATTATATATAAATCTTTATTTACCTAAATAATATTTAAGAAAAAATTGAAAAAATAATTAAAAAAACTAATTCAAACAATTTTTTACACTTCCTTTTATCTAATTTTTATTAATTCGGGTTAAATTTCACCAATTTGGCTGATATTGAGCATGATAAGAAAAAGGAAAGGTAAAATGGAGGAAATAAAAAAGGAATAGCTATAAAGGCCATGTGAAGTGAAAGTGTGTGAACAATGACATTGGTGAAGAGATTTGGTCATTGACAATGTTAAACTCACTAATAATCTATGACTACAGCTTTGAAGAACTTGTGTGTTAGCTACAAACTTAAAGCATGTTTGATTACTATTTTGAAATCAGTTTTATTTTTAAAAATAAATTTTAATATAAATTTGTCCTAAAATTTATTTCTAAAAACAGAAAACTATTTTTAAAATAGTAATTAAACATGCCCTTACTCTCTACTATAGATGATATTTATCCTTATTAGTGATCATATTTATAATTACTTTTCCTCTTATTTTTTTTCAAGTTACCATTTACAATTTTTTTTTCTTTTTTCTCATCTCCATCCTCCATGTTCTCTCACTCCCTATGCATCAACCGATAAAGATAACTTTTTTTCATCTTCTTTTTATGCTTGAGTTCATGTCGGCTGATTTTGACATGACCCATTATGCTTTACATGCTTCTAAGTTCCTCAAATTTCAGTTTCAAGTATTTTGTACTGTGTTAAGATATTTGCAATAAAAAAAAATTGCTTAACAATGGCCTATTTGGTTCCAAAGACATAGTTGATCTTAAGAGAAAAACAATTTTTTTACTTGTTTCACTTGATTTTCTAATGGACATTTTGTTCAGTAAGTATTTTGAGCAAACAGGGTATATTTTATTATGCTTTGTTTTTGAAGCATTATATTATTGTTCTTTTAAAAATGTTTTTACTTTCATTCTTAAATGTAAGTGTCCTTAAACTGTCTTTTTGAGACTTCAATCTAACTATCATTGATAAAAATAACAATAATAATTAAACAATAAAACCGCGATGACATCAGTTATTTTGTGAGATATACTTGGAATATCATCTTGAATCAAATTTTAATTGACTTTTTTCTTTTTTGCAAAGAAGGTACCATGAATCCATGATAGTGGTGAGCTCGAACATCAAACTTAACTCAGAATGCAGTTGGAGTCTGTAATTGTAACTTTGATCGTACAAAATAAATTTATTTATGAACTTAACCCTACTTATTTAGTAATATAAAAGAATTTTATCAAATATTGCGGAAATACTTCAAATGATCCGCTTATAAAAAAAAAACATAACATTTATTACATTTTTAATTTTCTTGATATTATTTACACTTTTTCAATAAAAAAAAGGTTTCTCTTTTAATTGTGTTATCCTCTGTATTAGATTTTTGCATAAACTAGTGTGATTAAGAACTGCTTAGCTTTATATTTGAAAACTGATTAGGTGCTTCTCGTTTTGCCAAATTGTGCACATTAAAATTATTAATTACACACTTTTGACTTTAATAATAAATTGTGCGTTTTTTCCTTTATGTTTATTATTTCGTTAAGTTTCCATGGTCTATCTTTTTACTTGATTAAAAGTGCATAATTAATGAAAAAATAATAGATAAGAGAGGGTGCAAATTAAATTTGTTCAACAATACTCTTCCCTTAAGATGAAAATATATAAAACAGAAATTACAAATAAACTACTTTATGGACTTCTAAATACCTATAGTTCTTCAAATTCTGAATAACGTGATTTTGGATTTAACAAACTTATCAAATTTCAAAAATATTTGTAAAACCATAATTTTAATACTTAGTCAAAATTAGGAAAAAGCAATATTAGACCTCAGACATCCAAGGAAGGATGATAGCAGCAATAGCTCTCAAAGCCTGGCGGAGGCGAAAGCTCTCAGGCGGCCACTGCGAATGTTTTGAGAAACAAGCCTTTGGATTTGTCATCATTGGCCATTTTAATCCGAATGAACTAAATTCACCATCAAGTATTAATTCAAACAATAGATAATAGCAAGAATTTAATTAAAAAAAACACAATGAATTTATTTTAATAAAAACTGCTACTTTTTTGCTTGCTATCAAAATTAAGAAAACAATATTATCGAGTGATAGTTATTCTAATCACAAGATGATCTCTCCTATCAAACGAGTTCAAACAATGATGACACCATAAATTATATGGCACATAATATCAACAAATTGGGAATTTTATTTCAACCAAAATAAACAAAGTCTCAGACATCCAAGGAAGGATTGTAGCAGCATTAGCTCTCAAGCCTGGCGAAGGCGAAAGCTCTTAGGTGGCCACTGCGAATGTTTTTGAGAAACAAGCCTTTTATGATATCATCACTGACAACAACTATGACATGGTAATTCAAAAAGGAAACAAAACATGCAATATATGAGAAAAATTTTCAGAACATAGAAGAAAAACTGATCAACAAGTATACTATGTAACTAATAATGACAAATAGCCAATTTTATAACATTATGAATGTGATGATAAAACATTCAATTTTCCATTCCATAATGATCAGCAAGGCATTAAAAGCAAAGCTGATAAAGTGATTAAAATGGATAGATTGAATATGAGGGACATGTTCATCCCTAAGGCACTCAGTGTCACTGCTAAAGGGGCAGACGTGAAGTCCCATTTAAACCATCACCAACAATAAATAAATTCAAATATATACCAATACATTCACAACAACTAAAGGATTATCATAAGAAAGAAAATTAGAAATTGAAGTGGAGATCACTTTCTAAGACTTTTAATCTTTCCTAAGAAGCAAGAATTTATAAAAAAAATTAATTAATAAACAATGAGTTAAGAAAACGTTAAAAAATGGGAAATTAGAAAAAAAAAACATATATTGGCCTCATAGAGAAGATTAGGTTAGTCTACAATGAATAACTTCAGACATATGCTTGTCAATTTTCAATCATTTAATCATTGGCCAACATACGACGAACAAGGAGAAGAAAAAGTTAGACAAAAACATATTTCTACGAAAAATTACGACCCTAAGACAAAATTAGATAATGAAAGGGACTCAGAATATGGGTGGTGATATATCAGGATGGTCGGCAAGGCCCAAAGAGGCCAATTACGACGAACGAGACCTTAATTACATCGAAATCGTCACTGTCCCCTTTGTGATTCAGCTACTGAGAAACAAAGACAAGTTCATAACAGATAATTCAGAAGCGTAAACGAAAACCCCAGATGCAAAGGAACGAAGATTGGAATAAAAATGCGATCTTTGGAGAGGGTATTAGAAACCCTAGAAAGCAATTAGGTTGAGCGAGCGATTGCAGCACTGCGGTTGAAGCATTGAGGGGTAGGGTTTTAAAGCGTAGGGTCAAGTAATTTGGGCTTTTTCTCTAGAATTTTCTTAGGTTACGCCGTTTGTTGACCTGCTTTCCTCAAATAAGAACAATTAAAGTTAGTGTGTGGGCTTTGTACCCAAAAATTCTCAATTGGGCTTCATTCTACAAAAACAATATTTGAAAAAAACATGAGGCTGAATTCGTGAATGTTTTAATTCATGATTTAATGGTTGTTACAGTTGAATTAGAGTCAAATTAATAATAATAAAATACTTATTATTAATTTTATATAATAAACTGATATAAAATTATAAAAATAAGTTAAGTGAAATTTTCAAATAATATAAAAAAGACACTACATGTTTTACAAAATAAATGTTGATAATATAGATAAATAACAATATATATGCAGATGTCGTATGTAAAATTTTATTTATTTAAAAATATTTAGAGTGAAAAATTAAGAAGTATTTAAAACAAAATTGATTCAAGGAAGTTTTTTGGATTGAGTTTTATTTATTTCATCAGATTCTTGATCAATTTAACTAATTTTCTGAATTATCCAAACTAATGACCTTATCAGTTTTTATCCATTTGATTGAACTGATGAGTTCGATCCAATTATAATAATTATCGCATTTTCAATTTTTAAACCAAAAGAAAGACCACCTTTTCTACAATCATGACTACATGTAATATTTGTTTGGACAGTTATGAAGTCAGTTTAGTTAATAGTAGGCAGATTTGATATTTCACAATGTACTTTACTTTTTCTCCCTCCTTTCCTCTTCTTCTCCCTCCTTAAAGGAACAAAAAATCAGCAAGTTTTCTGTAAAAGCTGTTTTTTTATTAAATGTTTCTCTCAGAAAAAAAAGGTAATATTACAACATAAGTAAACTCTTCTTTATAATTGCAATAAATGGAAACTATTTACTCTTTAAAAAAAAACAAACAAAATTTATAAATACACCAATTTTACAAATGTTGCAAATGCTCTACTGATACACAGTTTTTAATCAGACTAAATATAATATAGGCACACCAAAAATTATAGCACAATGAAAGTTTTTACTTGCCTTTTGAGCAAACTAAACCTTATATTGTAAGCTAACGAGTTTTGGTGGCATCTTGAATAGTTGGTTAGTTAATGATAACCGCATAGAAACACTGCATTAAGTTGAAAATCATCAATCAATCAGCACTACAAAATTGAATTGCTATAACAAGTACAACCAGTAGATTATACACAGGTAAAAATTCGTGACTCCAAGCAGAGAATAGAATTTTGTGTGCCTGTCAAACAAACGCTAAATTCTACATTCTTGCACAGAAACGAATGTTACACATGCCATCAGAGTCTATCACTTTCTCAGCAATCAATCACGCAAATTTAATACTTGCATGCCCAACACAATGGTTGCATTGTCATTCTGATGGCTTCATATGATACCAAGGAACTAAAACATGAACAACAACTCTACCCTTCACACTCAGCTTCTGTTGGTTCTGTTTATATCGCCTTGTATGACTCGTGCATCAATCGTGGATAGGATCTGTGGCATTGACATGCCTCCCGAAACAACAATTTCTGCAATTTTGAAACAAATTCAAGCATTTGTTGAAACTAGAGTGGAATGAATTAGATGTTGTTATTATCATCATTATTATGTCTTCAAGCAAGAGATATACCAGGACCAGTAAAAACAGAAACAGGGAAGGATCAGAAATTGGTACCATCAGTCTATTTTGTCCGCAAACAAAAAATAACAATTTGGTTAACACCACCAACTAGTTAGATCTGACATTATTAAAGAAACAAATATAATCCCTACTTTAGCAACTCTTTGTCAATTTAAGCCTTGAGACTCTAATGCATGCAAGTCAATTTGAACTTTGACGCCAGTGCACATTATGGATCAAATTGATTAGCGGTTCTCAAGACTTGGGGAATAGGTATGCCTTTTCATAATGTTAGGGATTGAAGATGGTTGTTAAAATCAGGGACTGTGTACATTTTTGTAATATCAAAGAGCAAATTGATAAGCGAGACCAATTTTATGAACCACATTAATATTTTACCCAAACTTTGACATATATAATATAATTATTAACCAACCATCTTCATAACATAAACATAGTGCAAAATAAATATATGTGCTTGCTTTGATTTCTATAACTTGAGACTGAGTAACTAACAAAATAAGAACCACTTACCAATTCCTTCACGAACTGATAAGTTTGGCCTGATGACATCTTTTGTGTTGACAAGAAATATATCACCAATATAAAGATGGTTTGTAGGAACATAGACGCAGCATAGCTCCTCGTCTCCAGAATAGTTCTGTAAAATGATAACTAATTTCAATATCTAATAATGTACACCACATTTATAAACACATGTAAATGATCTTAAAATATTGACAATAAACCTGTCTCATCAAACTCAAAATCATCAAATGCTAATCCATATAGAAACTTTCCAAAAACTTGTTGAACATATGGCAGAACAATTGAAAAAGAATATAAAGTGCTAAACGGCAACCAACAAAATAAGAATAATGGATGCAAGGAATGGTGCAACAATATGGAGCCCTGACAATTGCGTTGGACATCCAATAAGTTCTAGTTTGTAAACAGATGGCCACATGGTAAAATAATAATCTATAATTTATCAAACCAAGCCAATCAAGCATTAGCTACACTTGCTTTGTATGATTCATGATATACATGATCATATAAACCTGTATATCAACCAAGCAAGACATAAATTAGCATATTATCAGCAAGTATGAAGCAAAAAACAAAGTCAAAACTATTCCCTTCTAGTCTGACACAGCTTCATCAGAAAATAACTAAAAATACAGTAAAGCAACATTAAACTACTAATGAAAATAGTGACACCAGGGCATACATAATGAAACCCCAATTCAAGCAATGATGGACAAAAAAGTTCTGAACTTAAAAGCTAACAATCATTAAAGTTGCTTAGAAACCTGTAGGACAACAGATGAGGTTATGAATCCAAATGCATATTCACCAACACGTGGATGCCGAATGATGGCTACTTCTTTGAAGGCTTGTGTATTTTGATCTGCAGCAGCACACTTGTTAACATAAAATTTTTCCACATATTTAACTCATGTCAGTATCACAATTAACAGTAAGATGTTAGCAAAAACACACCTGGAGAGATTGCAGCACTAATCTGCTTAGAGGCATTATAAATATGACGAACAAGTGGCATTTGCTTGATAAACCACTCCCCAAGGCCCAGGACAGATGCACCCAACCATGATGACATGAAAACCCCGACCAAGAAGATGAAAGTTATGGAAGTTATGAATCCAAGACCTGACCAAGGTATTAGCAGATAATGTCAACAAGTTTAATACAATCAATTGAATTTGTTTTGTTGCTCTATTGTATGTACATTTCAATATGTAATTCCCCCTTCCCCCATGCCAAAAAATAGAAAATAAATAAATAAATATTATGAATATAAATTTATTAAAAGATACATCCAAGAAATCTAAATACTAAGGAGCAATACTTTTTAGAAGAGTCTCATGTAAAATACACACACACATGCCAAAAAAAAAAAATAAGACACAATTCACAGAGATGCAGAAATTATGGTTAAATGCAATCTTTACAGAAGTAAAGGTTAATAGTGAGGTACCAGAAGGCATAAGCACTTACCAAAAATATCAATTCCAAGCTGAGCATATATTGGAGAGAAAAATCCATCCACAAAATGAATAAACCACCATGTTATATAGAAGGTGATTGCAAGTGGAAAGAGAATGACACTGCATAAGAACAGGCAGTGAGTTACCACAGTATCACAAATTTACCAACGGAAAAACAAAGGAACTCATGAATTGCAAAATTCCAAAGCAACAACTGGTCCCACAAATATAGGTAACCACGAGGCAGAAGTATAATACAGCAAACCTTAGATGGGTACAAGCATAGAGGTGAATACTGGAAAAGAACTAACATTCTATGCTGCAAGCACTCTTCATCAAATCATCTTTGATGACTTAACCTTTATCTTTTTCTCCATTACCTTGTCCTTATAATGTAAATCAGGTACTGAGATTGCAATGAGATTGTTACACACTTTTGGGATAATTATATTGAGAATAGTCAAAAAAGACTATATATTAGTTAGTGTTGTTCATTAAGCGATTAGGATTTGGAACTCTTCCTGTCTCATAAGTGTACAAAAGTATCAAGAATGGAGATGATCATGTTTAAGAATGTACAATACATATCATAATCATATATCCATGCTTGAATATCAAGATATTGGATAGAAGAAAGAATTACTCACCATCCAGTCATGAACTTTTTTGATGCCCAGCTTCTAACAACTTTGTAAAAAGTCTACAAAATCGACGGAAACAACAAATACCAACCTGTGAGACAAATAGTTATGAATGCAGAGAAAATTCTTATATGCAACTAAAAGAGTGGGATAACTCTTATTTGGGATTCACAACGATCAAAAAACAAACCACTTCTGATATATGTATGAATGCATCTCCCCCCCCCCCCCCTCTCTCCTAGGATTTGAAGCCCTCAATTTACAAGTGTCAAAAGTTCTTCAACTCAAATAAAAAAAATTATAGTCCCATTTATAATTAGCACTAGAAAGCTTCATTTACTTGCTAATTTTGCTATCACTTTCCATTCTGAAATCAATTTCATGAATGGTATAACCTCGGATTATCATCTAATTAAATCTGCAATGTAGTTGAAGGTAGACACTTCTCTCTAATCCCTAATTTTCAAACCAATTTCTTAGTGCCTCACAACATGAGCTCATCAATGCTACGAAATCAAAACAAATCACTGATCCCCCAATTATTCATTCAAGCTTGTATCATTCCTAACTAGTTCATCAATACCCCAAAGTAAAAAAAATCCCAATCTAAGTCAAAAAATGAAACTTTCAAGTAAATCCCCAAAACTAACACATTCAACAAAGTCCAGATTGGGCGAATTGGAGAAAAAGAGAAACCGAGAATGAATTGCATTGGTGAATGAAAACCCTAATCTGGGGTAGAGGAAGAGATCACCTCGCGGCCAGCATCGTGCGGGGAAGAGGACGATGAGGAGGGTTTGGGGGAGGAGGTGCCGGCGGCGGCGGCGGATTCGCCGACGGGGATGAGAAGCTCTCGATCTCTGTCTCTGGTGGTGATGGCCATGGTGGATTTTTCATCACCCATTAAGCGACGCCGTTTTTAATCCAAAACACAAAATCTCTTTCTTTCTGCTTCTTCGCTGTGTGTGTCCCTCGGAGAATCCGAAGATGCAATCCACAGTTGGTCTTCTCCTTCTTTTTTTCTTTCCTTTTTTTTTTTTTGTTTTATAATTTTTTTTTCTTAAAATATATTTCCAGTCTATCTGTATATGAGTACTTCCCCACAGTGACACTATGTATTCAAGTCACACTCAGTTGACATTTCTAGTTTAGTATTTATTGAAAAAAAAAAATTCTAGCTTCTTTGTCTCTGTTTGCTATGAACAAATTTGATTTCAGCATTAAATCATGTTGTTGGGTTTTAATGGGTTATTTTATGAGATAAATAAATACTTGAGGTAAATTAATAAAAAAATTATGTTTAAATTGTATAAAATTATATTTAAGTATTTACTTAAACTTGAACTAAACAACATGTGTTAAGTTAGAATAATCTAAAAAAATTCATGTAATTTACTATTTTTAATGAAAAAAAAAATCTTTTATCTGCATTCATAAAATGAAATTCATGATTTTCAACTTATTACTTTATTTGAAACAAATACCTAAATAATGTATTAGCTGTATTATTTTGAGACTTGTCTTCCTGCACCAAAGAGTGTTCATCATGTAGTCTATGGTCGACATCAAATAAATGAGGTGTCATCAATTATGAATTGGAATTTTACATCCATCACAAAGTTTTCCTTAGAAAAAATTTTGGTGACATTAATTGATTGAAATACTGATATAAATTACACGACGAATTAACATTAGTCAAATATTAAATTTTTTAAAATATCATTTATTATAAATTTTTTTAATAATTTCTTCCAAAATTTTTCTTCATTTATCTGGACATCTTTTCAGGAATTAAAAGGGCAGATGTTATGCATGTGTGTGCAAGGGAAAAATTAAAGAGTGGAGATTACAATAAAAATCTTACTGATTACAAACAACTTATTAAACTATGGTATCAAATTGATTGGTGTAGGCATAGCAAACTAGCTAGCTAACTCACACAAAATGTAGCAAGTATTATCAGGGCATGGATCATAAACCCCTGGCAAGGATAAAGGTTAGAAGGTGGATAATAGGGCACATTGCACTTGGAACAGATGCACCATGGAGGACACGGACGGAAGCACGGTGAAGGAGGTTTACAACCATGGCACTTGAAGCCATGACAATTAGGGCATGGTTTGCACTCACCATTGATGGCACTTGAGGCTCTCACACTTGACACAACTGATGACACACTCGCCATCACACTTGGAACATTGTTTTTCCTTCTTCCTTCTTCTTTTCTTCTTTTCTTCAGCTCTTTTGTTCATATCTTTCACAGGATTATGACACTGCTGAACTTCTTCTTCAGCAAGTTAGCCAAACAAACCATGTTCACATCATCAACTGTCACTGCCACACGATCCTCTTCATCACCTTCTAGTGACACTGCAGTCACACCTGTTGGTTTTGGCCATAGCTCAACAAAATAAATAAATAACACAAATGGTGGGTTCTGTTTACATGAATATATAGTCTTTTATTGCTCTGACTGGTCAACAAGAAAAGTCAATATATAAATAACAAAAATAGCATTGTCTTTTGTCTATTTGTACATGAGTAGAAGGAATCCAACTATTGTTATTGTATTGTTTGATTTGATAACATGATTTAGGATAATCAATTTCTTGCTAGTCTTTATTAAATACATATTTATGTTTCCTAATAAATAAAATATCGTACTTATATTAATGATTTTAAATGAATATCATTAGTACAAATATATATATCAATAAAACATATATGTCATTATAAAAAAAAAAATGGGGCGGCTTATATTAGTCTAAATTTGCTAATTTCAGGATATATTTAAATACATTTATTAAATAAATAAATGCATTTCAACTGTGTATTGGCTTAGTTTTGTTAATCAAGCCTACTAATAACTAATAAACGGAGAAAGATTTTGTTTAATTTTCAAAAATTAAAATCCATCGTACCAACCGTTGTAACTTGTTTAAAATCTATTTTATAATAATTAAAAATTATCAAAAAGTATTTTAATATTTTGAGTTTCAAATACTTGTTTAGAAATTTAAAAAAAGTTACTATATTAATTAATTATTTTATACAAATACCAAATATAAAAAATAATATGATTTTTTTGAATTGTTCATGAAAATAGAAAAAATAACAAATTAAAAATGTATAATATAAAATATATATATACATCTTTAATATGTAATATAATAACTATATAGTAGATAAATCTGTATTATGTAGATTAGTTAACATACACGTAGATAAATAAATATGGAATCTTTAATCTATCATCCCTTTTATTTTTTATTCAGCTTCCTTCGTTTAGGAAAGATTCACATGTAAATGTAATTCAAAAATCTAAAAGAAAAAAATAATTTAATGTGGGCGTTATAATAGTCATCAAATCGTATGGCATACCAAATACTCTATAAAATTCCTATCGTTATCTTTCAGAACAAGAAGAGGAATGTTATAGTGGCAATAAATTAGTACGTCTAACACCCATTTTATCATATATTTTATTCTGGTTACAATAATAAAATAATATTTTCATTTTTATCATATATATATATATATATATATATATATATATATATATATACTATTTTAATATAATAATTTATTCGATAAAATTTTTAAGTAAAATTATAAAGTATTCTTAGATTATTAAAAATAAAACATTAATAATCTAGATAGATTAGTGATAATATTCATTGAATAATCCGGATACAAATAAAATATTGATACACATAGAGATAATTATTAAACTAACTCAATCTAATAATTTTTTATGGTTAATATTATTTTAAATTATCAATAAAATTTTTTTAAGAAGAAATATAAAACTTTCTTTGACTTAAGATTATCATAGTATCTAATAAATTATTTGTTATATTTTAATTTTGGATAAATATTACTTTAAAGCACTAGTTGAATAAAAATTAAATATAATTAAATACTTATAAAATTAACATTACTTCTAAAAAGAATCTATCAATAATGATTTTAAACTCTATTAAAATTAAAACTTGCTAAAATAATTGAATGGAAGAAGAAATAAATTTTCTTAAGTCATTTATGAAAAATTAATTTAGTAGATTATTAACAAATTATATCATATTCTAGAGTTAATTCAAAGTTGAAAATATAATTTTATTTTATTTTTTATTAATTTAATCTTTATAAATTATAAATTTTATAAAATAATTCATACCATCATTGTATACTGATATGGTATCCAGAGTTTTGTATTAGAGTTTGGCAAGAGAAGAGAAGAAAGAAAGAAAAAATTAAAAGATAACATGAAAAGAAAGGTTCTTTATTTGAATGTCATAAACTCATAAACTGAGTGTAGATAACTATGGATTTATATCCTCTAAAGTGTGTCTTTAAATCCAATCATTTAAATATATTATTTAATAGAATATAATATTTATTAATATAATTTTAATAGATAAAATTTAATATAGTGAAAATGTCATTACAAAGTTTCTATTTCTAGATAATTATATCATTTCACAATGGTTACCAACATGATATGATTACATGCTTGTCATATTACTGCTTATCGATAATCAGGGTCACATTTTAAATAGTTTTTATTATATAAAACAAAATAAACATGTAATAAAAAATAATAAATAAATAACTTAATTAAAATTATAAATTTTTTTACTAATACATTAAATCTTGTAATTTTAATAATATTAAATAGAAACTTATTTTGTAATTTTGAGTTTGAGTTTTAATAAATTCATACTTAAACAAGATACTAAGTTAAGTAATTTAGTTCACATGGTACTAATAAGATGTTTATTATTTTTAAAAAAAGTTGTAGAATCTTTTTTGTCATGGAAATAAGGTTCTCCCAACAAAATTAAAAATAAATAGAAATTTAAAAATAAAAAGTGACAATTTTTATGAAAAAAAAAATTTTTTGACCCACAAATTTCATGAATAAAGACAGGGATAAGACATTACCCAATTTAAGTTTGCCAAGTGATAAAATTCACCAAAAAGTTGAGTCTTAGAAGGTTAGTGATTAGTCAATTAGTGTTGGCTTCAATGGTATGGTTGGGTCTTGAGGAGGCCATTGAACGTAGAGACAACCTTATTCTATTCGCATAATTAAGCAAGTTGCTCTATGACACGTGACATGCACTCCAGAAAGGAATTTGAGTTCCATAATTGGAAAAAAAATAAAATTATAATCCTTTAAACACTATGGTCTTAACTAATAAAAATTATATATATATATATTGTAAAAAAATAAACATTAATAAGCTATGAAGTAGCTGAAAGTGCATGGTTTCGAACCACCCAACAATTTCTTCTGTAATTGATTCAAAGACAAAACTTCAGACATTATAAGGATCCCAGTTCTGCTCCCTTCAGCCATTGTTCCTTGTTGGAATAACACACTTTTTTTGCTAAAAATAAAAAATCATTCTTAGCAAGTCACTGGTAAGATTATTTATTATGGCTATGGAAATGTATTAAATTTCACTTTCATTAGAAAGGGAAAAATGGAATAAAATGCCTTTTTTTTTGTCTCTAAAACTAAAGAAAAATTCAGACATGTAAACAAATGACTGAATAGACTAGAATGCCTTTTGAAAATTCGTAGGTTGTGACTTTTTCAATTGTCAAGGTATCATCAACATTTGCTGCTTCAAGCACCAGTCAATTTTTCTGTCTATGAAATTAGAGCTCTCGTTAAACAAATGCTTATTCTAGCACGATCTAATCGAAAGAAACACGTCAAGAGAATTAGTAATAACACCTTTTCCATTGGTCAAATAATTTCGTATATTTTTTTAAAATGAACTTTGGAAAATATAATTTTTATAGTTCAATGAATTTTGCACTTTCAACTTTGAAGTTTGAATCAAATGAGATTAATTATTAGTGAATGGAGGAAGGCATAAAAATTAAGAAAAGGGATTAGACACATACAAATGGAGACAATATAGTGTCAGGTTACGTGCCATTCTGAATGCTTTGCCACTTTCCTCATTCACTCACTCAATTCCAAATGTATCATTGTTGACAAAGGAATTCTTTCAGAATCTCAGCCATTGATTCTTACACAATCTTTTGCCACATAACCTTTTATATCTATAGAACAACAAAGAGAGAGAGATTCGGGAATCATCCATCTTTGGTTTTTCTAAGAGACGATGTTGGAAGGAAAAGCTGTGGTGAAAGAAACAGACATGCCCTTGAAGATGCAAATCCAAGCCATGTCATTTGCTTCTCACGCCCTTGATCTGTATGATGTTTATGATTGCATATCTATTGCAGGATACATCAAGAAGGTACATCATTTTTAATTTTTCTTTTTCTTTTTGGCTAAAATGTGGTCTTGATGTTAATTTGCTTGATGGGTTTAATTTATATTCCTATTAATTAAATGGGTTTGTATTTGTACTTTGATTTTTTCAGGAGTTTGATAAGATGTATGGAAGTGGGTGGCAGTGTGTAGTGGGTTCCAATTTTGGGTGCTTTTTCAGTCATTCACCAGGGACTTTCATTTACTTTGCTTTGGAGACCCTCAACTTTCTAATCTACAAGGGGGTCCCCTCTTGATTTTTACATTTGGGATCTTCTTTTTGAATTGAATTTTCATGTATGAGTAGAATATGTATGTTATATAGTATGGAAGAGAATCAAGAGATATGTACTTCTAGGAAATGGATGTTGAAGGGTGTCCTTTTTTACTTCATTAATTAGAGCTATTATATTTTATATTCGTTCAATTATAAAATGCTGTTTGTGTTTCATCCCTTTCATCATTTATTTATCTTTAATGCCTGTGATTTCTTTTTATCTTAATAAACACAGTTTGGTAACACTCTCTGGTAGTTTGGAAATCAATACACTTGATTCTGCATCAACATTTGACCCTCTTTAGTGTAACTTGGACATTGTGTGCTGTTGTTTTATTTTATATCTAACAAAAAAGCCATTAAATTGTCAAAACAGGTTTTTTTGTAAGGAGACACTGGTGTGTGATTAATAAATTCAGACACAGTTAACAAATATCTAAATCTTTAAGCTTGAACGGAGAAATAAAGTTTAATTTAATAATATTTAACTTCAACAAGCATTTAACTTTGACTATCAGTTGAGAGAAATCTTTAAGGTGTAAAAAATATTAATTTATATTTGACATATTAAAATTTTTATTTTTAAAATTTATAAATTATTATGAATATTGAATTTTTGGAATTTTATTTAATAAATAATTTGATATATTAATAATTAACATATTTCAATATATCATTTAAAATAAACAAATAAAGGTCAAATAATTTCTCTTTAATAACAGAGCATGGAAACATTTTTTTTATAATTTTCTTCATTAAAGTTTTCCACCATCATTTCACTTCTCACTAAATTTAGCAAATTAAAATTATTGAAATAGTTTATTAATAAATGTCCTACTATTTTTAATTTTTTTTTGAGTTGACGAAGGAGATAGAGTAAAATTTTAACCAATTTCATTGTTTAAGTTACCTAATTTATAAGTAAATGGAATGAAACTTGATAAAACGAATTACCTTTTATTTTATCAAATTTTTCCTAAATTGAGGATGTAGGATAGAACCTTATATATTTTTGTTAATATATTTATAAAATTACTTATTTATCAACTGGTATGTGGGGTTATTTAATTTAATGATCTTGACTTCAAGTTTTTAGATATCTTACATTAAGAAAGAAAACTTTGTTATTTATAATATTTTTATTTAGTTTAAATAATAATTTTTTAATAAAAGATACATGTAGTCTAAATAAAAAAAATTATTTTTAACTATAGCAAATTACAACACTGATGCATAAATTTGTTAAAAATAGCATTTGAGAAAAACGGCCAGCTTGGAATCAAGAATGGGTTCTTTTTATTTTACCAAAAAAAGTTCTGGTTTTTTAAAAAAAATTTAAGTACAAGTATTTTTTACATAAAATAATCTTGAGCAAAAAATATCCACCTAGAGTAAAATTAGTACTTCCAACCAACCAAGATTCTTTTTATACACCAGATTTAATCTCATATCTTAAAAACATCAAACATATATTACCTAAACCAATCTATGTTGGTGGGCCTGGCAATTTAGTTTAAGGTTGAAAAATTAACTCATGTATAGTCCTTTGTGAGTTTCTAATCAAGCGAGCAGTCCATGAACTCCTTTTTTAAGAAAAACAAATCATTAACATGCAATTTTTATACTAGAGAAAAAAAATTCAGTTTTTCAAATACAAATTCAAGTTTTTAACCTACGTTTGGTCAAGTCTTACTCTAAATTTACCAAGCAAGTTCAAATAAATCGGCCCAAGAGAAAAATGTAAAAGTCAACTTAAAAAAGTAATTATTTGTGCTAATTGATTGGTTCAGATTATTTGATCTGATTGAAAAGAGAAAAAAAAAAAAAAAAACTCAACACAACTGAATCTGTATTTTTAATTAGTTTCAATTGGGGTTGGAACCAAACCCCTCATTTTCCTGATAAATTGTAGTTGGTGAAAGTTTATCTATGATTCCCATCTCTTTTGTACATTTTTCAATTGCTGGGAATTATTAATTAGCATGGAAGGCCCAAAATTAGAATGCATTATAGATTAACCCAAAAGTTTGAGTGCTATTCTTAAACAAGCACTTTTCATAGCAATATTATGCATTCAGCTCTTTATATACAAGGGGAAGATGCTGATGTCGAAAGGCTGTGTATCAATTTGTCTCAAAATCTGTAATCATAAATTTACAATTACCTCCTCAATCAATCCACTTAAAACTAAGTTCTCTACTTCATTAACAACTTGCTCAGCTTCATCAGCAGAAAATCCACGCCTCCAACCCCAGTTCCATATTCCATTTATAAGTCCATTGTTGCTCTTTATATCTCTCCCCATCATTGCATAGATATTATTATCTGTAGCAAGTTTGTTCCCAGTGTTTTCACTGTAAGATGTCAAATTGTCAATTGCATTATAGACTTCATCAACCAACCTACCTAAAGAGATGTGTAAACTTGATTTCCCTGGACAAGTTAGTGATAAAGGGTGAACTGCTTGTGACTTCTGAAGACTTTTACACTCGGTGAGTTCATTTGCACAATCCAAATAGAGTTTGAGATTGGCTATTTCCTTGGTTTCACTTCTTGGTAGGATCTTAGGACAATCCACATCAAGGTTGAAGAGCCCCTCTGCGTGGCCAATAAATGATCGACTTGTTAGAAGCAAATTTTTCAGCTCAGAATTGTCTTTCTCAGGTTTGCAAAAGGTTTCACTGATATTGGTGGTGCTGTCATGAGCTTCTTCAGAAGGGGTGGCATCATTTTCATGTTCAGACTTTAGCATCAAAGTATCATCACCTGAAGAACTCTGGCTTTGACCACAATTTTCTGCAATGTAACAAAAAGGGAGATATAAGTCATGTAAAAAGTACTTTGTTATGTCATGGCTCATGAAGAAGCTTATGATGAATTCTCAATGAAATGATATATGTGATGTTATCCATCTTCTTTCCTTAAAAATATTCCATGCATAACCTCTCATTATCTAATCATTTAACTTTACTATGTAGTGCCAGTGATGATAGCTGGAGAGAAATTTACCTCTAATCTTATTTGCAGATGAATCTACTTCTTCATGCTTCATGGTGAGATCATCGGTTATTGTAGTGATTATTCTAATCTCAGGGCAATCATCTTTGCTAGAAACATTAACACTCTTTGCTTCTTCTTCTTGTCCTAACTGTTCAACCAGTTCAGAAGAATGATGAATTAAAATTCAGATTGACCAAACTCAAATTCTAGAAGATAGTTCAAACACTGCTATATTCCGTAGAGCCAATCAATGAGAATAAAAAGTAGACTTACAACTGGTTTGGCTGCTTCAGGCTCAGCAACAGACCTTTGCTTCTTCATCTGATTCTTTCTATGTTCCTTGGAATTATTAACTTTTTGACTCTTTGATTTTGAGATGGTGTTTGAATTTGAAGCAGTGCTCTTCCTGCTGGGATTCTCATTCTTGTCAATTCTGGACCCACTTTGTGGCTTCCTCAACCTTGTACTTGTAGAGCTGATTTCTCCTTGCTCTTGAGATTTTGTCACAACTTTTGGTTTTGAGACCTCCTTCTCTGGCACCTTTCTGCTAATGGTAATGGTCTTTACCTTAGCTTTTTTATCAAGAGTTTCATTTTCCTGTGATTTGTGACTGATATGACTATACAGTTTTACCTTAGCTCCTGGAGCCTTCTCATTTTCAATAGGCTTGATTTCTTTTGCCTCCAGCTCCACAACCTCCTTGATGAGCTTAGTTCTTTCCTCTTTGGTAAGCCTTTTGGATACATGTTCTTCCTTTTCTTTCACTATGTTGGTGGTTGAACCTTCTCTGTGTTTGATAGTTTTGGAAGGAACTGCTTTTGCTTTTAGATTTCTAAGGGATAACTCTTCTGGATGAACAACAGGCTCATAATTTTTCACAAATCCCTGATATGGAGCACATCGAGGTTTCATAACCACAATAGGAGGTAAATCATTGAACTGTTTGCAATGAGGATCACTGGAATGATGAACATGAAACTGAGGCTTTCTGACTGAATTCTTCTTCAGAAGTCCACTGAAATGAGTAGTCTCAAGAATTTCTTTCAGGGTCTTCTTTTGTTCTGGATTAACCTTCTCAACGTTTTTTCCCACCTTGGGCATATCTATCTCAAATATAGGCCTCTTCTGATTCAGAATTTTTTGACTCTCCAACTGTTTCTGCATAACAGCTGGAAATGATCTTGAGGAGGCTTCTTCTAAGCCCATCAACTTTGCAACCAAATTGGGTACTCTTTCCTTCCTTGAAGTTGTTGGTGAAAATGAAGAATCAGAAAGCCTATCATTCCAAAGACCAGAAGATTGGCTTGAGTTTGTAGAGTGAAATGCTGAAGTTGAATCCAATCTTTCAGTGGTTGCCAATAGATTTTGCTCAACCAGACTCTCCTTAATCACTTTCTTAAGTTCCTCAGTGCAACTACTAGAAGAACCATCGGCTGAAGTCCATGGTCTTTGAAATCCCATTGGACAACTTTGTTCACCAAATTGATTACAATGTGCTGTTCTATCAATCACCTTTGCATCAATTCTGCCTCTTTCAGCTTTCTCCTTTTGTTTTCTCTTCATATAAGCCACATGTTGTGAAGCTTCTTGCACCTTTCGCAGCATCAATAGAGATTCTTGAAGATCAAGAGCTCCCTTCAACAAATCTTTTGCAATATCTTCAGAACTTCCATCATACCTCAGACCCTTAGACCAAGAATCAATCATGTTGTTCAACCTTTGAGCTCCTCTAGACACCTCCATGAGCTGCAAGGATGATGGATCAAAAGACCTTTCTATGGACCCTTCTGAAACCTTCTCTTTGTCTGTTTTGTTTGCCAATGATGTCTCAGCCGTCTTCCGTGATTTTGTCTTGTCCTTCATTTTATGAGAACTGGTCCTGAATTTCCTTATAGCCCCACACTCAACAACTCCTTTTGGATCATCGCATGTCATGAATGGTCTATACATGACTGAGTCTTGAAAGGGATATTCTGTCACAGAAATTTCATCAACAAACTGAGAGACTAATAATATTCTAACAACCTAAATAAACAACAAATTAAAATTTGCTATTAAAATCTCATACAATACTTACATGGTCTTGTCCTCTTGGATCTCACACTTTGTCTACATCAGACAAAAATAATGCTTGTTTGATGTCCCACTGAAAAACATGCAATTAATTAATCAGTCCCCGTCAGAACAACAATTCCATCTAAAACACAGAAAATAGATCAACATAGAAACAAACAAAAAGTCCCGATCAATGGCACACTCGAATTTTCAAAATTGAGCTATTTGCATGTTTTCAATTAGATTCCTGAAGCAAGCACAGAAAGAGACTTGGAGATCTTTATGTAATTCTCCACTGAAATCAGAAAGGACACAACTTGAAACGATGCCAAAAACTCGAACTTTTATCACACATAATCATAATTTTCATGAATTTATTGGCAAGGGGAAGCAATTTTGTGATTCACAGTTCATTTTTTCTTTTTCAGATCACAAAAATATACTCTTTTTTTTTCTGTTCGTCAAGTTGATGACACCAATTTTATCTTCAAAACTCACAACACAGAAGTCAAAATTCAACAGTTAAAACCAAAAGTGCACACACACACACACAAATCAAAATCACGGTTTCATGCAACACTTACCCTTGTTTTCCTTTTCAGCTTTTCATCATTTTCAGCAGCACCAATCCCAAACCAAGATGAAAAACTCATGAGAACATTAAAAAAATGCTACTTTCGAGGTTTTGAGGAGCTTCATCCAAGGGAATGAGGTGCAAGAGACTCAGATCCAAATGGGGGGAGCAGCACAGTGGGTGCATTGCATTGACTTTGTTTGAGAGTGAGAAGGGTAGCAAGTAGCAACACAGTGTGTGTTGCTCTGAATTGTTTAATGGGTACGTTGTGCTGTTGAGACAAGAAGATCGTTGAAAGATTATGAATGTGATAAATGGAAGCAAATAGCTTTGGTCGTACACAATGTTGCAGAAAGAAGCAAAGCCAAAGCCTGTTGTTTCAAAAGCACCAAAGTTAGTCACAGAGTGGAAAATGCCTCCACGCAAACTAGTTCATGAAAACCAAAATTTTAGAACTTTCTTTCTTCTTTCTTCAAAGTTATCACGCATTGTTTTTTCAAATATTTTTTACCATAAAAAGGGTGTTTTTATTACTCACTTTTTTCAATAAACAAATAATAAGGCTAGAAGTTATATCCTAGTCATCAAAACAGTTACTGTTTTGAAGACACAGATGGGTCAGCTAGGGACAATTAATTAAGGTTATAAAATAGTTAATTGCTGTCATAACTCTTACGTAAACCATTGTCTTTATAAGATGACACCTGGGGTATGCGAAATGCTAGCTTAGTTATTCACAAAAAAATATATTTTTGTATTACATTTAGTATAATTATTAAATTCAACCTTGCCTCCAAAGTCGTATTTCTCTAAATAAGGTAATTATTCCACCCTCAACAAGAGGGTGTTTATATTCATAGAAAAAAGAGAGATAAGACAAGAGGGAAAACAAAATTTAAATGTGATAAGCAATATATATATATAAATTAAAAAAAAATGAGAACTCTTTCGTCATGCTATGTGAATCAGAGATTTTATTATCTTTTGTCGCGTAGTTTGACCAATAAAGTGTCGTAAAATACGGGAGAAGCATGTACCAAAAATATATAGAAAAAAAAAAGTGCAGATGCAGATGGTTCATATAAACGACAAAAAAGGCTTCTATTAAATGTTTTTATGTTAAATGGAAATTGAATTATGAATAAACACAAATTGCGTGTGTAATAAATATAAATATAATAATAATAACAGTATTCTAATTGTTTAAACATTCGGTTGTTAGTCAAATTCTTACAATTAATTCCTAATTAAAGATCCACACTTGTCCCTACGCTTCCACTAAAGTCTGCCGGCATATAACTTATTTGACAACCAATTACTAAAATCTCAAGATCTAATGATAATGTGAAGTGATTATTTTTCTTAAAATTTGATTATTTGTCTCATATCTAAGCAATTATCATCTTGTGATAATTAATTTTGTATTCTTGTTTCACACAGGGCCTTGACTGTTTTTTTTCTCTTTTGTCTCTGCTAAAAGTAATTTTATTTGAGTTAAATAAAATCATTATAAACGTTATTTTACCAAATATTTAACATTTAGTACTCAAACTCAAAATTGTCTTTAACTCCTTTTCAGTTCATCTACATATTACTAATTCATACACCTCATATGAATATGTGTATTCTGTACCACTTGTAATAATAATAATAATAATAATAATAATAATAAAAAAGATGGCAACTGTTATTACGTATTGCATTTGTTGAAAGGCATATATAACCCCACCTATCTTTAATGTTGGAATACTCCTGATTGCATGTTGTCACATACAGTAAAAAAGCTTTGAACAATATTTATTCATACCTATAAATCTGATAAAGTTAAGTCATTTTGCAGATCATGTATTCAATAATAAATAGTAACAAATAGCTAAATATTAATCCACCAACCAAAGTCCTTAAACAATTAGCAACATACCACGGGGAATTTGCCGGCTGAAGTCCTTTATTATCAAACATCACCTAGTAGTAATAGTGCTTTTAAGTATCTGCAAAATATTACACAATAAAGGTTTAATTAGAATATTCATTTTGTGTTTCACTTTAGTGACTTTAATCTGAAGTTTAATTTCTCATGCAGGTATCTTATTCATAATTAATTAGTTTAACCGAAAGTCTTGCAACTCATAAGAAATAACAAAAAATAGATGAGACATAAGAAATATTTTTTTTTCTTATAAGGCTCTTATTAATTACCCCTAATTTTGTGTTTCCCTAAATAAGTCACTATCTACAATCAATTCAAGTTTTCACCCTTTTAACTGAACTTGGTCTGTATTTTACACCTGTCAGTTGGTACCATCAGATAATTTAAAAAGATGGCAAGTAACAAGCCATTCAAATAGCTTTTTAAATTGAGTCACAGGATTCTTGTTGCATATGACAACACTATTGCACTTGTTGCCGATCATAAATGTAACTGAATCCTCACCAGTTTTTTTCCCTTGTTTGGCTGTATATTGGAATTCAAGTCAGTGTTTGATATTTTAAAAAGGGTACAACTCAGAGTTCAATTCTCCCCTACTCCTAAGGAAATCACTTAAGTAAGCACAGAATTATGGTAACTGCAATTGAATAGGCATGGATTCCAAAATTAATATTCATTTAAGCATCAAAGTTCAAAAATAACTTATTAATCAAATATAACTTCACTGTGTCACAAATCAAATATTTTAAAAAGTAAGTTGTTAATTGAATATGCATAAATGATTTTATATTATATTTTTAATATTTCTTCTCACACAAGAGACCTTTATGCATGAAGTATGGACAATGCACTTGGCCAAGAGGGACTATATCTTTAGCATGCCTCTTCATGCACGTCTTTTGGGGTAATAAACGTGAATAAAAGATATAAGCTCAACAAGTATCAAACTCTAGACTTCAATTCTATGTCATGATAAGTACTCAAATTCATGTTCACACATAAGTTATTACTGGTATAGTGTTGTTACAAATGTGAACCTAATATGTAGTTAATCTAATTCCAAATACACTAAAGATGTAAGGTGAATATATAAATTTTATCTTTCACATAAGGCACCTAATAAATGGATATTTTTAACTTTAAAATAATAAATTTTTATTAAAAATAAAGTCCCAATCACATACTAATTTCCTAGAACCTAGGAAGCAAAGATACTTTCGAAGAACAAAGTTTCCTAGAACCAAAAAAAAGATAATATAAAACCCTTATGTTTAATATTATATTCTGAAAATAAAGAATGATATTAAAATTCCAAAATAACACATTGTCCCTAAAATAATATTAACTGATTAAACATACTAAATTATCTAAATAAGTTCACAAATTACCACTACAATCATAAACAATACTACTTAATTATCCTATGTCCCTCGACAACTTTCTAAGAAAGTTTTTGCACTTCCCGCCTCATGAACAAACATTGTTTTATAAAAGCAAAAACTGCAACAATGGGGAAAAGGTGAGTGTAATTGCAACTGAGATGCATTTAGACAAACAAGGAAAACAAAAATTGACGTGTAAGTTTGGCCCATTCCTCAATTATGGTGTTGAATACCAAGATGAGTTTAGCCTTTGGCTACTAACACAGGTTCTTTTTCTGCTTTATACTGTTAACTTTTCTTTATCAACCCACCATCATCTAATTCAAAATTTTTATGTCCTGTCTCCTTCTAGTGGTTAAGCAAATAGAGGGAAAACATGAAAGAGGAAAGAATCTTCAATTTCAAATATTGGTTAATTAAATGTGACCAACATGCTATTATGAATTTTAGCAAATACGTATCTCAATGTGACAATCAAGACAAAGAAAAGACTAGTGGGTAGTATATAGATGGCTCACAATAGCTAACTAGCTATCAATTCCTCTTCCTTTTCTCATATCAATCTTCCCTTTAATCGTGTTGGTGGTAACAAACATCGCGACAGAATTTTATATTGAATAATAATAATAAAAAGGTAAACAATATATTAAATAATAAATACTTACAATTTAATCACTTCAAATTTTCCAGGTAAATATAATATTTAAATTTGTTTGTATGACTTATTCATTAGTTTTTTTTTTTAGTATTTTAAGTCTCTTCGTATGACTTAACATAGAATGTATTTAGATACATAATTTAATTATTATTCAATAAATTATTTTTATACGATAAGTTATGTTATAAATTTAACAATAAAACTTATTAAGATAACCTAATTATCTTATTTTAATAAAGTTATACAAAAAAATTTATTTTATTTTAAAAATAACTTATAAATTTTCAACAAACTCTTCTTGACAAAACATAAACAACAGCAACATATGCAAGCAAATTCTCTTTTAGTGTCCAAAATTTTCTCTCACATCTGTAGATTCAAAATCTATAACAAGGCACACTATCTATAAAATTTGAATTTAAATTTGGAAAAAGGATAGGTTGGCATTTGCCATGCAATATTGACTATGTGTCTTGTCATATGGAGCCTGTGCAGGGACTCTATACATGATATACATTTGCATGAATTTGCTTGAATCCGAAATTATAATATGTGACAAGGGGCAAGCCGGCAAGTATAATGACAAACTATATATGGTATAGCACCGTAGCAATGGTGACCCAAAGAGACAAATCAAAGGGTCAAGCATTGTTTACAAAGAAAAATAAAAGATGTTAGCCAAGAAGAATGTATCAAAATATTTAAAACTCTTAACTGGCTTTGAATGATGTTGAACACGGATTCTCATACATATGGTCCCACTTGCACCAAAAAATTAATAAAAAGCCAGCTGCTGCTGTTACTTGTATTTTTGTGATCCATGATGAGTGTTGGAATGAGACATCTTGTTATCTACCATGTCTTCTCAATGCTTGATTTGATTTTTTGTAGGCTTTCATTGTTTGTATGTATTTGTATGGATATGGCATATAATGTATATGAAAATGATTACATAATTAAATTAGGATTTGGGGCACCGTTTTTCCATTAGTTGATTAGTAAGGCAGCGTGTCATGTGTATCATATAGAGGGAAATTATTTAAAATTATTGTGCAATCACGGGTAAGATAATGATAGTCATAAGCTTATGAATTTCAATGCATGGAAAACTTAAAAAAGATTCTGGTTAATCCTTCTTTGTCAAAAGTGATTATTTTATATTTTTGTTGCGGCTATTATTGCCAATAGTGAGTTCCTTAGCATCAAAAGGTTGACCAATGCTATAGGGAAAAACTTAGAACAATTGTAACCCTGAAAACTTAATGCATAAGACTATATTATATATATATATATATATATATATATATATATATATTTATTTATTTATTTATATTTGTTAATTCATGTGTATTTAATTAACTGTTGAAGCTGAGCTATGTGATGTATGCATATTTATCATGATGGGATGAGACAAAGAGCAAAACATGTCATGGAAGAGTGGCTTTCAGAGTTCTCTAG